GGTTCACACAGGCAACGGGAAAAGTGCAATTCATTTTTCCTCATGGTCCCCTGTTGGTTAGCTCCTACCCTCATCCATCCCTTGCTCAGACCCTGCTTAAGTCACAATAAATTTTTCTTTGTTTTTACTTTTAAGACGCACAGAAACAATAGTTCCAAGGACTAATGGATTATGGGAACCCAGTCTCCAGGATCATGAGACAAGAACTAGATGGTGCCTGGCTAGCACTACCAATTGCTCTGAAAGGGATCACAATAGGAGGTCCAGGATAAAGTGAGAGGAAAATGTGGAACAAAACTCAAAATTATAAAAAAGACCAGGCTTACTCAGGCATGGAGACAGAGATGATGGCGTGGACAGATGAAATGGTTGGGGACACAGGACGCAGGGAGGGAGAGGAGCTGTTTGCTGACAGCTGGGGCGGGGTGGGCCTGTGGGGTGTATCCTTTGGTTATTTGTTGATGCATGGAAGGGACTGTAATCATTGCAATGAAATGTAATACGATAGGGTGAATGTAAAGCTGAAGTGGGACAGAGACAAATAATGATGTATGCACAACCCTGGAACAACAGGGCTCTGGGATACAGAGATTGAAACATGATTGGAATGGGGAAAAGGGGGGAAACAATGTTAAGATGTTTGGCTGTCTTTTAAATCTTGGTTTCCATGGCATACCACTATAAAATAGACACTAGAGGGGGACAGAAAAGAATAGCCAGAAATATTACATAGAAAGCTTGTAAGTCTGTCTTCTGCCTATAACTGATTGGAATACCTAAAATGGGCTACAACGTGCCCAGTGAAGGAGGCTTCCTGTGGAGCCTCTGCATTACACAAGACCATAGGTGGAATCCTGAATAGCATCCAGAATCTTCTGAGGGGAAATTTCCACTTGAAAGGACAAGCAGACCAACCTGGAGTGGCCGGAAGAACAGAAGATACTTCTTGAAAGAAAGACTGACAGGAAAAATATAAAACAATACAGGCAGATCGACTGATTACTGCAAGAACAAACAAGTGGCTCACCCAGGAGACTTCAAGGCAAGTGGTCGGGTCCCCTCAGGGCAAACCTCTTTCCTAAGACTAAGAACCAATGGAAATACACGCTCTGATTGGTGACCACGCTGGTCCCCGATAAGGGGAAGTGAGGGAAAAACAGCAATGAAGCTGCAAGCTAAGCCCTAACATTCAATAGACTCTTGTGAGCCTGGGTGGAGACCTGGTTGGCCAGCAGTGTGGCAAGACCTGGGGAGTCTTGGGTCCAGAGTCAGTGACATAGCCACAGAGGACTAGAGTGGAGAGTGAAGCGTCCAGCTGATAAGAAGAGAGGGCACATGCATAAGAACACCCACACATGCAGATAATACCCACTTGACCTGGCTTCAATGGCTGGATGATCAGAGTCAAATAAAAGAAGAAAGAAGAGGAAACAAAGAGTAATCTGATATAATTTTATGAACTTGACCTACACCCCTGGAAGCAGTAGCTGAAAAGAGGGAACAAATCTTTACAGCAAGAATCATTCCCACCCCCTCCATACACAGAGTAGACAGGGATGGGCAACTTGGACACTGGCTACCCAGGGGCTACAGAGGCAAGAAGTTACTGGCTTACAAGCTTTCAAGAGGGAATCTAGATCCAGAGGGCATGGAGCAAGGTAGAATCTCCACTGAGTTGTATCCAATCTGTCTAGGTGGGGCTGAGAAAAGGAGATGCGGATAGGTCTCTTGAGATACAATGGTGAATAAATGTTATCAGGACTGATTGTAAGGGCTGGAAACGTAAAGGTTCTGTAGCAAAAGGAGGGGAGGGATTAATTTTGCAGTCTAAGAGCGGAGGTCCTGGGACCATCAAAGGAGAAGAGCGGAGAACAGAACCCTACCCAGAGAAGCAGTGATGCCAGGGATGGAGGCAGAGATGATGACGTGGAGAGAAGATGGAGCAGCTGGAGACTTTGGACCCCGAGAGGGAGAGGGGGCTGTGTGCTGACAACTGGGGGGGCAGGCTTGCGGGGTATACCCTGTGGTTGGTGGATGATGCATGGAGGGGATTGTAACCATGGCAAGGAAATGATATACAATGGTATCAATGTGAAGCTAATGTTCTCCCATGTAAACTATCACATAATTCACAATAATGCATTAAAAAAAAAAGACCAGGCTTACTGGTCAGGTGACTAATAGAACTAATAGAACTCCTGAGAGTATGGCCCTATCCACCCTTTAGGTCTGAACTGAACTCATTCCCATGGCTCAATTGTCAGCCAAGTAATAACACAGATCTAGAAGGAGCTCTGGTAGCGTAGTGGTTATGAATCGGGCTGCGAACTGCAAGGTCAGCAGTTCAAAACTACCAGCTGCTCCTCAGAGAAAGATGAGGCGTTCTGCTCCCGTAAAGATTTACAGCCTCAGAAATCATGTACAGGGTGACTATGAGTCAGAACCGACTCCATGGCACAGAGCCACCACCATAAGGTGAACAATAACACCAGGGAGGTCCACACACCTTAAAATAATCATTTGAGATCAAAATGGCAGCATTTACCCAAGGACAAAGTTCAGAAGACAGAAAGGGTTAAAAAGGAAAAATGAAAATGGGAAAGAGGGAGGAAGTGGGGTGTGGTGTTACATGGTGGGGATTCTAATCAATGATATGAAACAGTGTGTATGAAATGTTGCATGGAAAACTGATTTGTTCTGTAAACTCCTCCAAATAACAATAAAAAGTAAAACCAAACCAAACCAAACCAAAAAAGTACTCTGCATCTACTTCCGCCATGGGTTCTCTGCCCTGGTTGCACACCAAGCACACAGCTTGGAAAAGTTGATGCCTGGGTTCCACTTCCACTGGGTGATTTGTTGGGGGTTTGGTCTGGTCATCTGGATGTTTAAGAACTTTTCAGATGATTCTCATACGTGGCCAGATGGCTCATATTCTCCCTTATCCTATCCCCTTGATTTCCTACCATCCTGGCCTACATTCCTCTAAGGCTTAGTGAACGATTCCCCCCTCTGTTAACACTGTGGGATAAAGCACTGGACCGCAAGGTCGGTTTGAACCACAAGGTCAGTGGTTCAAACTCACCAAACGCTCCTCGGAAACCCTATACATTGTCGATATAGTCGGAACCGACTCAACGGAGCGAAAATCAACAAATTATTCCTTATTTTAAGGCCTGGTGATGTGACGTTTAACCCATCAGTAGCTCCATGGAAAGAAGAAGTTCCATAAAGATTTCAACCTTGGGAACCTTATGGGGCAGTTGTACTTTGTCTTACAGTGTCGTCATGGGTCGGAATCTACTTGGAAATGAATGGATCAATGGATTTATTTTTCTTTTCTGTCTTTTTTTTTTGAGTAACATTTGCTATTGTTGACCGTTCTTCTACCAGCAGACGGCGCCAGAGAAAACTGACTCCTTTCTTTCGCGCTCAGCTTCGCGCTGGAGGCGGCTTGGCCCTTGTGACGTTCCGTCGCGTTTCCAGAACAACGAATCGTGAAACGGCTGGCGTCAGTGCTGCGTGCCTTGCAAGGGGATTGTCCGGCTTGCAGTATTTTGGGCTGTGAGTCTGTTGGCAAGCTCCAGGAACCAAAGAAACGTGAGTCAGGAAGCTAGACCCGTCCGGGATCCGGCCCGACTCTGGCAGGAACCGGCGTGGGTCTGGGGAAATGAGTACTGGGTGCTCGGCTGATCCAGGACTGCTAGGTTTCTTGACTCTTTGATACAAAGATGTATTTACTGGCGACTTAAAGGGCAAGGAAATATGTCAGGTCTGCCAGATTTTCAAGACAGAGGCTGCAGGCTCACACTGACCCACAGGCACAGATTATGCTCCCCCAGTCCCAGGAGGAATCTGAGATGACAGACATTTTTGGTTGGTCCCAGGCCTACTGGCATATTCATATATGTTGGGATGACCTGGGGTACCTTGCACATCTTGCATTCCAGGGCCCCTGTAGGCCAGGAAGAAAGCTGTGCAGACCAGAGTGAGCCTACTCTACTTTCTGGTCCCATCTGCGCTTCCAGGCTGCCCTGTGACTTCCAGCAAGTCGGCCTTTCTCTGGGTCTCAGTTTCTTCTGTAAGACTAGGGATCTGCCCAGAACACTTTCAGCTGCAACACCTGGATTGGGGACTGCCAGGGTATGTGGGTTCTAACAGGCAGCCTGAGTTCTAGACTCATACGGATGTGAATTAGAATCCCTTGTCTTTTATTTTCCCTCTTTCCTGGCTGTGTGTTCCTGGACAAGTCATTTCACCCCTTGGGATTTATGTTTCCCCATCTACCACATAATGGGGGTTGTTATGTTTCTTAAATGATTGTCTCTATTACTTTATGCAGAGTGTAAAAATCCCCAATGTATTTGATCCAGCGCTACTAGGAGTGGCTTGCTGTCTCTGCCCTCTATGCCTGGTCCACAGCCAGTGCAGCCCAAGTCAATTTAAGTCAGCAATTAGCAATACTGATAGCAAATCATTTTTTAAATGCCTATTGAGTCCTGGTCTGGCGCTGTAGAATAAAGCATTGGATCACAAGGTCGGTGGTTCAGATTCACCAGCCACTCCTTGGAAACCCTATACAGGGTCACTATGAGTTGGAATCGACTGACAGCACTTAACAACAAATGGCTGTGCCCCATTCTAAGGTTTTCTGATTTAATTGGTCTAATATATTTTTAAAAAGGAGCTCTGGCAGTGTAATGGTTACGAATCAGGCTGCAAGCCGCAAGGTCATCAGTTTGAAACTACCAGCGGTTCCGCGGGAGAAAGATGAGGCGGTCTGCTCCTGTAAAGACTTACAGCCTCGGAAACCCTGTGTAGGGTCGCTATGAGTCGGAACCGACTCCACGGCACACAACAACAACAACAATATACTTTTAAAGCTCCACCAGGCAATTCCAATTTGCACCCAAGGCTGAGGGCTACTGATGCAGCTGAGATTAGGAGGGTTTCTGGGGTTTGCAGTCTACTCACATTCCTGCCACTTCTGTACTCCTCAGATGGCGCTGCCTTCCTCCTGGTGCAACCGGCGGTTCCTGGGTCAGCAGTTAGCTCGTCAGCGAGAGCAGGCGGCCCGGCTTCGGCAACAGTGGGACCAGAACAGCCGCTACTTCCAACTGTCTGACATCTGCACCTCGAAACAGGCAGAGTGGAGCTCCAAGACCTCCTACCAGCGGAGGTAATTGTGTGGGGACCACCATGGGATGGGGTTGGGGTGTGGCATTAAACCCTTGGGGAGTGTGCCTTGGCTTGGCAGCGTATCTTCTAATGCGATTTGCTGGACAGTACGGATTTCCTGTATGGTGGTGAGGTTTTTTCCAACTGAAAAAAAAAAAAAGTGAAGTAATACTTAATGTTTAATTATTTAATTAGTTTAAAAAAGTAATGTTTAATTCACATGAAACAAAAATAAAACAATACAGAAGTAGAACTTAGAAGTCTTCTTGTAAGCCCTCGTTTCCATATGTTAGTAGAAATAGTATTAACACACACACATACATAAGCCCATTTTTATAGAAATATATGTAAAAACACAGAAATTAAAAGTACAGGCTTTGGAGTCAGACAGATATGAACGGAAATCCTGTCACTTGCTACCTGAATGAGGCTCAGTTTTTTTCATCACTAAAGTAAGGCTAAAATAGAACCTACTTTGTAATACTTGTGTGATAGTTCATATAACATTATTCATGTAAATATGTACACACATACATATACATAAACTAGTTTCCATTGAGTTGACTCTGACCCCATGTGTGTCAAGAATAGAACTGTGCTCCACAGGGTTTTCATTGGATACGTTGTTCAGAAGTACATTGCCAGGCCTTTCTTCCGAAGTACCTCTGGACATACTCGACCCTCCAACCTTTTGGCTATTAGACAAATGCATTAGCCTATTGTGCCACCCAAGGACTTCATATATATGTATATAAATACACATGATACACATTTTTATGCACATACATATATACATACATGCATACATACATGTACAGCTGGAGAAGTATATCATGTTTGGTAAGATGGAGGGTCAGAGAAAAAGAGGAAGACCCCTAGCGAGATGGATTGGCCAAGTGGCATCATCAGTGGGCTCGAGCATGGCAACAATTGTGAGGTTGGCCCAGGATCAAGCAGTGTTTTGTTCTGTTGTGCGTAAGGTCGCTATGAGTCGGTTCTGCCTCAGTGGCATCTAACAACAATGACACATACATAACACATGTATATCTTAGTCCCTGGCCCCTGTAATTAGCTGTTACTGTTATCACATGTATTAACCCACGGCTATCACGTTGATTCCAATTCATAGTCACTATAGGATAGAGTAGAACAAGTACTTCACAGCGTTTCAGAGACTCTAAAACTTTTTTTTTTTAATTTTTAACTTTTATAGTGAATTGAGTGAAGGTTTACAGAGCAGATCACCAATTTTACACTCAACAAGTCATACACTTTGTTTCATCTCCATAATTGCAATTCCCTCCATGAAACCGAATCTTTACGGGACCAGCCAGCCTCATCATTCTCCCACATGTAAACAGAAACCCGCTATATATTTGTGTTGCCCATGTTATATCTGCCGCAGCCTCTTACCCACACAGCAGCACAGAGCGGTCCACCCTGTCTGTAGTGCTGTTGGATGACTGTGTCTCCTTTTCACCCAGCATGCACGCCTACCAGCGGGAGAAGCTAAAGGAGGAGAAGAGGCGGAGTCTGGAGGCTAGACGCGAGCGGCTCCGGCAGCTTGTGCTGGAGGAGCAGGACCTGCTGGCTCAGGAGCTCAGGGATCTGAGGCTGAGCATGAACTTGCGGGAAAGAAAAATCCAGGAGCGGCACAGGGACCTGAAATCGGCCCAAGAAGAGGAGAGGAAACTGGTAAGTTCTCACAGGCCTTTCGTAGGAGGTGCAGGTGGGTCACTCACAGGCACTCGGGTCTGAGGCAGCCAGGAGAGCTTGAACTCTAAGGCCTTTATCACGGGGAGTATGTTTTGCATTAAGGAGTCCACTCTATTATCTTTGGTCTCTTGAATAATTTACATCTGAATTCATTCTCTTTATTTTAGTTCTGTGGTTCCATAAAAGTTTTGTTCTGGAATAGTTTCCCTTCTAGAGTAGCTGGTGAAATGGAAAGCCCTAATCTGTGTTTTTAGCCTGCTCTATAGTCTCACCCTGGGTGGTATAAATAATTAGCACAAGCTCAGAAGCTAACTCAAAGGTTGAAGGTTCAAGTTCACCAAGAGGTACCGCAAAAGAAAGGTCTGGTGATCTACTTCTAGAAAAAAGCCTCTGAAAGCCCTGCAGATCATAGTTTTACTGTCAGCATTGTCTCAAGAGCAGTTTCTGTTTTGAACAGGTTATGAAACCCCTTTGGTATGACCTGTCTGTAACTCAGACTCTGGGCCCCTTCTCTCAGCCCTGGGAGAGTCCTTAGCTGTCTGGCTCGCAGAGCCGTGGGGGCCAGGCCAGGTACCATGCGCACCTGTGGGTAAGGAGCTCTTCAGCCTGCTTCGCTGAGCAGGTATCGAGATGTGAATGAATTTGAAAGATGGCATCCAGTTTCCCCTTTCTGTGTTTTCTTGACAGATAGCCGAGCAGCTTTTATATGAACACTGGAGAAAGAACCACCCCAAACTCCGAGAGGTGAAAACCAGGGAGCTCTTCCATTGATTTGCCCAAGTGGAGGAAATCAGGTTTCCAGACCATTTCACATGCGCATCGTGTGCGGAGTTGAACCAGCACCGTGCAGAGGAGCTGGGGCTGCCTGCACCGAGTGGTCAATTGTCATTTCACACAATTGTTGAGCATTTCCTACAGATGGTCCCAGCCCTTAAGGAGAGCAAGATGCTGGGTACTGGACCGGTCTGGGGAGCTGGGGTCTGGGGGTAGTGCCTCCAACTCAGAAAAGAGGGACTAGGGTTTGGAAGAACAGGGGCCATTAACTCAAAGGTTGTTCTAGAAAAAGGCAACCATGTTGGCAACCAGGATGGTGTTTGAAATTGTATTTCCGTTTCACTGACTGCTGACTTGAAGAAATTTCCGGTAGCCTGTTCCGTTGGTTTTCTATTTCCAATTACTGTCAGCATTCAGGCCATGTATGTTGGGGCCAACCTGCATGTCCTTAAACCTGGCCACTCTGAGTCTTCACAAAGCGTCAGTGGTGGCACTCGGGGAATTAATACTTTCACCCTCTCATCCTTAGATTGAATTGGACCTTCACCAGAAACATGTGATCAATTGCTGGGAAACACAGAGAGAAGAAAAGAAACAGGTATGGTATAAACAACTTGGAAACGGTCTCTTGTGTTGCAGTGTGAGGCTACCTCCATTTTTTTGTATTTACTTCTTGTTTTCAATGCTAAGGATTCCAAGCGAGGAACAGACTGTTTCCCAGTTTAGTAAATACACGTTAAAACTTGAAGATTGGCTTTTATAGGTAGTAGGATCATATGAGATTGTTGCTAGGAGCAGAACCAGACCAGGATTGACAGGCCTTCATAAGGGCTTCTAGAAGGACATCTGTGCCACTGGCCAATTCTCCTGATGTAATTACATCCTAAACTCTCAATCTTGGCTTCAGTGGCACCTCATCCTCTCATCTGTTGAACCCAGCTCATTTGGTAAACATTTGGTTCATTTGTGGGTTCTTCCCTGTGAGCAGCCTCTCACCCCAGCATGAGGAGGGGGCTGTGCCTTGGAGCGCAGGTCCAGGCCCACAGAAGGCACACAGAGAAGTCAAGTGGGGGAACACATGGACATGTGTGGCCAGGTCTCACCTCCTGGTTCATCTCGCCCCATGTAGCAAGAAGCCACCAAGGAGAAAGAGAAGAAGCGGTATGAAAATGAGTATGAAATGGCCCGGAGGGAAGCAATGGAAAGGATGAGGGCAGAGAAGGAAAGGAAGCAGCTAGAGGAGAAGCTGCAGGCTGAGGCGCTGCGTCAGCAGATGGAGGAGCTGAAGCAGAAGGAGCTGGAGGTAAGCGCAGGCCCCCACAACCTCAGCCTGGCCTTTGCTCCTCACTCTCAAGCGGGTTTCAAAGAGCTGTTCTAATAAGGGGCTATCAGGAGAGGCAATTGTGTGAAAAATGCACCAGCAGCAGGTTCTCTCACCTGAACTCCCGTCTCTGTTCTCCACAGCCCTAGGAGATGAGTGATGTGCAGACAAAACATGGTCTCTGGGTCTGTGTAGGGACCTGCTGTCCCAGAGCCTCCTGAGGAGTGAGTTTCAGTTGTACCAAGTAGCCAAGATTCAGTCTGATGGTCTTAGCACACAGCATTCCACTGATAGCTGGTCTTGGGTCTCAAGGTAGAAACCTTGGGTCTCAAGGTAGAAACCAGGAGGGAGTTTGGTCCACTGTGCACAGAGAACCTGTCGGGCTGGGTCTTGCCATTCAGATACGGCAAGGCCCAGGGCCCATTTGACTCCCTTGCTCTTCTAGTCACCAGGACTAAATGGGTTGATAAATAGATGATGAGTGCCCACTACTTACAGGACTGGGCAGTGTTTTGTTATGCTGTACATATGGGTGCTTTGAGTCAGGACCGACTTGATGGCACCTAACACTAGGTGCTGAGCACTGGGCTGGGTGCCAGAGATACAGCCATGAGCAAGACCAGCAGTCCCAGACCTCAGGGAAACATGTTAAGCTCAATAAAGCAGGGACAAGTATGCCGTCCTGTAGGAGCGTGGAGCTTCCATGTCTGGAGGTGGGAAAGGATCTTGGAGAAAATGGCTATTGAGATGGGACAGGTGAGCCAGGGAAGCCACAGAGGGCTCAGAGCCCCAGAAGTGGGCGAGGACAGGACCACCAGCGTGGCCAGGCCATTCCTTGCTGCTTGCATGTGCCCAAAATGGCGATGGCAGAATGAGGGCCTCCCTGAGTCCCGTGATCTTACTTGGGTTTCTTGCCCCTGTAACCACAGGCGACCAAACTGAAGAAGGAGCAGGAGAATCTGATGAAGCAGCAGTGGGAACTGGAGAGGCTGGAGGAGGACAGGAAGCAAATGGCGGCCTTCCGGCAGAAGGCAGAACTGGGGTATGTAAGGAGACCCTTTCCAGCCCGCACACGCCTCTCACTGCTTTTCCAGCCTTACAACTGGGCGTTGAGCTGTGGTGCCACCGTCCAAGCTCGGTTTCCGTTCTTTAGAAGATCCTGATGGCAGTCAGTTTCTCTTTGGCTTATTTGTAGGCGCTATTTGAGACATCAATATAATGTGCAACTGAACAGACGTGCTCGGCAGATCCAAGAAGAGCTGGTAAGCCTGGCTAGGCAGCCTGGCCTGTCTTCTTAAAAGAATGAAAACTCAGAGTGGGAATCTCCCTGTACTGAACTCTGGGATCCTGCCTTCCCCAGAGGTGCCCATTTATAGTGTGGCCTTTTAGATATTGTGCTATACACCCACAGGATAGGGTTTGGGTGGTTGTTTTAACCTCACTGAAATTACATTTTGAAGCATGTTTAGTAGGAGATTGCAAACATTTTTTGCGATCAGTATTTTTAGGCTGTTTGTTCTTTTGTGGTGGCTGCTTGGTAGTCCGGTCACATGCTTTGTTGAACTCCCTCTGGAGACAGGGGACCAGGCTGCTCTGCTCCCCTTCCCTCCTTTGGGAACCACCCCAGAGAGCAGCACTGCCGTGTTCCCAGTGTGCAGCTCCTATCCCGAGGACAGCTTTCATTGCAGCTCTGTAGTGTAGAGATGACAGAGAGTCGTTTCCCTATGAATGGAGATCAGGGTGGCTTCTGGGTTTTGCCCTGGTAGATCAGAGCTGCTATGGAGATTTTGTACACAGATCTGTGCAGTTCCGTCTCTGTCATCGGTCCTCCTGCAGGTGGACTTGCTGCCAGAGCAGATCCGAAAGTGCTCTCAGTTTTCAGTCCCACCAGATGTGCCTGGGATCACAGACACAGATGGCAAAGGGTGTCTGCTGTGATGGAGAAAATTCCTGGGCCTCTGCAGTTGTATTCAACCACCCCTAAGCAATCACTCCCTGTCTATTTTGAAAAAGCCACCCCACACCTTCCCAGGGCTGTCTGCATAGCTTTAGGAAGTCGGCTCACCTCTGCGCTTCCTCCTGCTTCCTCTAGGAGGCAGACAAGCGGATCCTCCAGGCGCTCCTGGAGAAGGAAGACGAGAACCAACGCATCCATCTGGCCAGGCGGGAGCAAGCCCTGGCTGATGTGGCCTGGATGAAGCAGGTGATCGAGGAGCAACTGCGGCTGGAGAGGGAGCGGGAGGCAGAGCTGCAGATGCTGCTGAGGTGAGAAATGACAACTGTCTGTTCAGGATTCTCTGCTCCTCAGCTCTAAAGCCTCACGGTCTTTTCTTACTGAAACTTGGCCATGTTGATTTGCCCATCGTTTGAGACCAGCACATCTTTGCTGTTGGGTATGACTCGTGGGGGTGGTTCCCATTAAGTTGTTGACAGTGGGCATGATAGAAGAGATTCAGGATCGGTTGTTCTAAAATCTTAGAAATCTGAAAGGAAATTGCTATGAAGTAGGGAATTTGCTATGAATTAGGGAAATTGCTATGAATTAGGGCTTTATATCCACAAAAGGAATCTAGTTGAATCAAATCACTGAGAAAGTTGCTCTTATTTGTTGTGAAGTGCCGATGAGTCAGTTCCAACTCATAGCAACCCTATATAGGGTTTCTAAGGCTATTACTCTTGGCGGAAGCAGAAAGCCTCTTCTTTCGCTCTCAAGTGGCTGGTGGGTTTGAACCTCCAAACTTGTGCTTATCGTACAGAGCCACTGCACTCCCCACCTGAGAATCGGCCATGTTTTTTGAGGAATGACGATATGTCTGACATGAGGATTTAATCCTGATGCCCAGCTATCTCAGTGCACGCAGACTTGAGGACCAGCTAGCCTGTCCCTATGGGGGCTAACAAGGCTCAGGCACCAGCTCTGTCCCCACCCCTGCAGGGTCCTGATGACTTTTTGCCCCAGGTGCTGAAATAGCCTCAGAGCAAGAACATGCCAAGTGTTTTCTGTAAGAAATTGGAGTAGATGAAAAAAGGCAATTGAAAGTACTTATAATCATACTTTCTGTGCTTGTTCCTCTTGATTTTAAAGTTGTAAAAGCTTATTGGGGTAGGTTTGCTTAAAGGTTGGTCCCACAGGAGGCCCAAGACTCATGCTGACCTATGCTTTGGAGCCCTGTTTTTGTTTTTTTTTTTAGTTAATGTTCTGTCGTCAGTGGTGTTGGGAGCCTGCTCAAGTTGATTTGTGTTTGCCCAGGGATGAGGCCAAGGAAGTGTGGGAGAAGCGAGAGGCCGAGTGGGCCCGAGAGAGGAGCGCACGCGACCGGCTGATGAGTGAGGTAATCCCAGCGCATGAAACAAAGGGCCGTCACTTCCGGGCAGGTGTCTGGGAGTCTCTGACACATCTAGGCCCTGCCAGGTCTTCTGGGTTATTTTAAATTGGCTTTCAAATTATGATAAATATACTATAGTTTATTGGAAAACCAAAAACCAGAAGTGCAGAAAAGATGCACATAAACCAAAAACCAAATCCATTGCTGTCAAGTTGATTCCAACTTCTGGCAACCTCATGTGTTTCAGAGTAGAACCTCACTCCCTAGGGTTTTCACCCATGTTTTAGTTAAGTCTGTCGAGATGGTTCCCACTCATAGTGACCCTGTATAGCGTTTCCATGGAGCAGCTGGTGCGCTTGAACTACTGACTTTTGTTTGCAGAGCAAACAACCTTGTAGTTGTGCAAGGAGCTCTGGTAGCGTAGTGGTTACGAATCGGGCTGCGAACCTCAAGGTCAGCAGTTCAAAATTACCAGGTGTTCCACAGGAGAAAGATGAGGCTTTCTGCTCCCGTAAAGATTTACAGCCTCGGAAACCCTGTGCAGGGTCACTGTGAGTCAGAACCAACTCCACGGTACTTAACAACAACAACAATTCCCACCACTCCATCTGTCAGTCTGTCTTACTCTGTTGTCTTGTGTGTTGCTATGATGCTGGAAGCTGTGACACCAGGATTTTGAGTACCAGCAGGGTCACCCATGGTGGACACGTTTCAGCGGAGCTTCCAGACTAAGAGCAGGAAGAAAGAAAAGCAGATCACTTCTGAATGGTTAGCCACTGAGAACCTTACAAATAGCAGTGGAACATTCTCTGATACAGTGCTGGAAGATGAGCCCCGCAGGTTGGAAGGTACTAGAAATGTGACTCGGGAAGAGCCTTTACTGATGGAGCACAATTCAGACTGAGAAGAAAAAGCTGCAAACATCCATTAATAATCAGAGTATAAGAAGCATGAATCCAGGACAATTGGAAGGTATCAGAAACTAAATGGAATGCATAAAGAGATGAAATGGATTGGTATTGGCCATTTTGAATTGGACACGTCATATGGTTTACTATTTCAGGAACTACAAATTGAGCGGGAATGGTGTTGCATTCATCGTCACAAAAAGGATTTCAAGATCTATCTTGAAGTACAGTGCAGTCTGCAATAGGATAATATCCATAGGCCTACAAGGAAGAGTAGTAATAGGACTATTATTTAAAATTTATGCACCAACCACTAAAACCATTGATGAAGAATTTGTAGGATAAGCACTATACAGCTAACTACAAGATCGGTGGTTCAAACCCACCAGTCGTTCCGTGGGAGAAACATGAAGCTTTCTGCGTCTTTAAAGATTTACAACCTTGGAAACCCTGTAAAGTGTTGGAGTCCAACAGCACTAACAACAACAATCAACTTCTTCAGTGTGCAATTGATCAAACATCAGTGCATCTTGATTGCATAATTACTGCTGGAGTGGAATGGGAAAGTTGGAAACAAACAGTAAAGGTCATTAGTTGGAAAATAAGACCTCGGTGATAGCAATAATGCTGGAGATCGCATGATAGAATTTTGCAAGACCAAAAATTTATTCATTGCTAATACCTTTTTCATTTAACAGAAAGAGTTACTATACACCTTGGACTTCACCACATGGAATACTCAGAAATCAGATTGACTACGTATGTAGGAAAAGATGATGGAGAAACTTGTTGTTGTTGTTGTTGTCAGGTGCCATCGAGTCGGAACCGAGAAGCTTAACATCGAGTCGGAACCGAGAAGCTTAACATCGAGTCGGAACCGAGAAGCTTAACATCAGCCAAAACAAGGCTGACTGTGGAACCAGACCAACAGTTGCTTATATGCAAGTTCAGGCTGAAATTGAAGAAAATTAAGTCCACAAGAACCAGAATGTGACCTTGAGTATATGCCAGCTGTATTCAGAGACCATTTCTAAGAACAGATTTGATGCACTAGGCACTAACGACCAGAGACCAAAGAAATTGATGATATGGCATAAAGAACATCATACATGAAGAAAAGCAAAATGTCATTAAAAAAGACCAAAATGGATGTCAGAAGACTCTCAGAAACTTGCTTTTGAATGTTGAGAAGATAAAGAAACTGGAAGAAAGGATGATGTCAGAGAGCTGAACAGAAAGTGTCAAAGGGCAGCTCAAGAAGACAAAGCCAAGTATTATAATGACATGTGCAAAGGCCTGAATTTGTCAAACCAAAGGGAAGAATCCCCTCAGCATTTCTCACTCTGTACGAACTGAAGAACTGAAGGAGCTCTGGCAGCATAGTGCTTAGGAATCGGGCCGCGAACCTTAAGGTCACCAGTTTGAAACTACCAGCTGTTCTGCGGGAGAAAGATGAGGCTTTCTGCTCCCGTAAATATTTACAGCCTCGGAAACCCTATAGAGGGTTGTTATGTGTTGGAACAGACTCTAGGCACCTAACAACGTTGAACAACACGCACAAAATACTGAACGACACAGGAAGCATCAAAAGAAGACAGAAAGAATACACAGTCATTGTACCAAAAAGAAGTGGTTGATGTTCAACCATTTCAAGAGGTAGCATATGATCAAGAACTGATGGTACTGAAGGAGGAAGTCTAAGGTGCACTGAAGGCACTGGTGGAAATCAAAGCTCCAGGAATTGATGGGATATCATTTGAAATGTTTTAACAAACTGACGCAGCACTGAAGGTACTCTCTCATCTATGCTAAGAAATTTGGAAGACAGCTACTTGGCCAACTGAGTGAGATCCTTATTTCCAAAAGGTGACCCAATGGAATGCAGAAATCTTTAAATAATATCATTAATATCACATGCAAGTAAAATTTTGCTGAAGAGAATTCCAAAATGGTTGCAGCAGGACATTGATAGGGAGCTGTCAGAAGATCATACCAGATTCAGAAGAGAATGTGGAATGAGGAATATCATTGCTGACAATAGATGGATCTTGGCTGAAAACAGAGAATACCAGAAAGATGTTTACCTGTGCATAATGTGCAAAGATATTTGACTGGATGATATTTTTTCTGTTCTTATGGGTGATGTTTTTCTCTAATTTTAAAATTGTACTGTGCTGTCTTTGATTTCAAGCATCTTAACACAGTTGTATTCTGCACGGTAGGATTGCTACGAGTTGGAATTCAACTCAACGATAGTGATTTTTTAATTTTATTTTTCATTACATCCTTCTCCTAAATCTTATTGAATGAGTATATAAAATAGCCTCACATGAGTGTATTATAGTTTGTGACTATCCTGATATTCTGCAGCTTTGAGCCATTCCAAGCAGTACTGTAATGAATATCTTGGCACACAACGCTTTTCCATATCGAAGAACTTTTCTACCAGGGTGGATCGTTAGAAGAGGGCTAAGTGGGTTACAGGCTAGTATGTATACAACAAACCTCAAATAGGTGGAACTCTTTGGGGTAAAAAATTGCCTTCCTTCTCCATGTATTGAAAGTTCTATTAAAATGCTATTTTGTGCATGCCATTGTACTACATTCTGGAACCCATATAGGAAATTGGGTCTTGGTGGTTTTCCACTTTGGTGAACACCAGCTATTCTTGGTGGTTTTCCACTTTGGTGAACACCAGCTATTCTCCAGCTGTTGATTGTCCCCACTGTCAATGCCTCTCTGGCGGGGGTCCCTGGAGAGCAGACATGGTCCTGTCCTGTGAGCTCATCATGTTGCTCCTGGGTCCTGAGTCCTGTCCATGCTGGGTTACTGGTGGGCACAGTCCTGCTCTGTGGCCAGGTGTCCACCACAGCAGGCCGTCACTGCCTCCAACAGGAGATTGAAACCCAACACATGACCATGGTGTTTGTCCCAGACACTCTGCCTCCAGTCACTGAGGCTTTTTTTAGTTTTGAACACCCTGCTACCCCCCGCCGCCCCAAGGAGTAAGACTTCCTCATTCCTGAGACGTTCCTTGGCCCTGGGGAGGGGGCAGCACCAACTACAGTTGGAGGTGCATGGGAAATGCCTCTGAATTCTGGCAAATGCAGCAAACATTGATTGGACCAAATCCTGTTGTCTGGACTTGCCTAAAATAAAAACAACCATTTTCCATAGAGTTGATTTCCTACTTACGGTGACTCCATGTGTGTCAGAGTGGAACTCTGCTCCACAGGCTTTTCAATGACTGAGTTTATGGAAGCTCACCAGGCCTTTCTTCTGAGGTGCCGTTGGGTTTGAACTGCCAATCTTTGTGTTAGCAGGCAAGTATTTAACCACCGCACCAGCAAGGCTCCTCCCTACTGGCCTTAGTCTGTGCTTTTCTGCCTGAGGCCGAGCAGCAGGCTGGCATCAGTGCCACTACAGTCTTCCCCAGGTTTGTTGAGCAGGCATCTGCTAGAATCCACTGGAACCTGTCCTTTCCCTTTCTGCGTTGGACAGGTGTTGGCAGGGAGACAGCAACAGATCCAAGAAAAGATCGAACAGAACCGACGGGCACAAGAGGAATCCCTGCAGCACAGAGAGCAACTCATTCGCCTTCTTGAGGAGGCAAGAGAAGCTGCTCGTAGAGAGAAAGAGGAGAGTGAAGAGCTCAAGTCGGCGCGGAAACAGGAGCTAGAAACCCAGGTGGGGGTCATCCTGGCGGTGGAGGGTGGGAGCCGCCTGTGACAGCAGCCAAGGGGAAACCAGTAGCTCAGAGGAAACCAGCCCTACTGGTTCCCAGGCTACGCTCTCCAGTCAGGCTTCCTTAACTGATTTTATCACCTGGCACTGGACATTGTCCCTGAAGTCCATGTGTGGGGGTTCAGCGCATCCCATTTTATATCCAGTTGAAGCCCTGGCCCATAGGATGGTCATTCAGACTCACTCCAGGCAAGTGACCCATTTGGTGGTACCCAGTATGTAGCACTAAATGTGCCCAACACATAACGCCCATCTGGAGCCACTTACAAGAGGTCATCCTCCCACACGACCTTTTCCAGCACCTCAAATTTCCTCCTGCTTACTCCCTGCTGGGGAAGAACCAGGGCTTCTTTCCTGATAAGCGGCAGGGTCCAGCCTGTGTGGGTGACGTTGCTCTTGACACACAGGTTGCAGAGCGCCAGCTGCAGGCATGGGAAGAGGACCAACAGGAGGAGGCCGAGGAGGAGGAGGCCCGGCAGGCGGAGCAGCTTAACAACACTCTCCTTCAACAGGAGGCCAAGAGGATGACCCAGCAGGGCTACCGGCCCAAGGTAGTCCCAGCCGCCCCCCATTCTTTCCTGCTCCTCTCCTCCTCTACCTCTCTCCCCACCTGGTAGGGAACCTGACACAGGTTCTGTTTCAGTCCTCAGTTGGACCTCAGATAGCCCTGGAAGTGATTTTCTTCTGGCTCTTGTTAGTACAGCCTGTCAGCAGTGTACTGGTCCACTTGGTTTGGGGATAGTAATCTAAGAAGAGCATATTTCAGTGCCGGCTGACTAGAGCCGCAGTGTCAGGTGATCAGAAGGCCTGCTGCCAGTCCCTCACTCCCTCCCTCTCCGGCTCCTCTCCCCCTGCCTCTCTGAGTAGCTGAGTGCAGGGCACCTGGGGAGCACAGAGCAGCAGAGGCTGTGTCCCTTCGAGGGAGCTGCTGACTAGGCTTCTGCCCTCCATGACTGCTGGGCTGGAGTAGAGCCGCGTCCCTAAGTGCCTTCCCCAGGACCCCTGCCGCAGAAGAGAGACTGGTTCCTGCTCTGCTCAGAGAGCTCTGGGAAACAGGGAAATCAAGTTAGAGCAGGTACCACACCTACCATAGCTTTGAACACCCAACACACTGACTCCCAGTTCAGGGAACAGCATTTTTCTAAACTTACCTGACCATGTGTTTCTCAAGATCAGGATCCTACAGAGCACATCTGAACCTGTTTCTTAGGGCCAGTAACTTTTAGGATAGCATCAAGTGCCTCATTTATGGCTCTGAGTCAAAGCACTTTCAGCTGTGAATGAACACAGCTGTTTACACTATGCCTTTCACTTGGACTTAAAATGGAATGAATTCCCAGTGCCCCTAAGACTGCTGATCTGATCAATTGTGTATGTTTTTTTCCTTTCTTTTCCCAGACTTACGGACATCCCAAGATTGCGTGGAACTGACTCCGTGTGTTCCGTCAGTACAGGAAGTCAGGGTTTGTGTCGTGCAGCCAGCACGCAGGTCTGCCCTCTGCTGTTACAGCCAGGGGGCCGGGCACTGCACAGTAGTAGGTCCATGGAGCCCACTCAAGCGTGTGGCGACGCAGCTCAAGGACCAGAGAAGACAGGGCTGAGGACACACAGCACTTGTGAAAGACCCTTTTCCTGCCTCTCGTCCAAGACAGCATCTTTGTTAGACACGTGTTTCCAGGGCCGTCAATTGTCGTAACTTGTTTATAAATATGAACGGTTCTCAATCAATACTGAGAGTTACCAATCATGTTCTGTGCCAGGAGGCCCATTTTCCTGTTGTCTAACCCTTCAGTGACAACCTCCTGTGAGATTCTAGCTAGAGATGTGAGGAAGTTTTCCCGTTTTAAAATCGCCACTGCAAGTTTCATGGAAAATTTCCCTTAATAAGCAGCAAGTTGGTCTTGGTGCAGTCTCCTACAGGGTTATTACAGGATAATGTCTTTTGTGTTCTGGAAGAAAAGAACTCTTAATCAATTAATAACCCTGCAGCCCTGTGTTCCATGGAGGCTTTGTGGAAATGTGCCTAGGAGTGGTGTTTTCATAGAGCACTGTATGTGGGGTTGTGACATGTTACTGAGCCTCAAGACAGGGAATGTCCAGTTGTCACCTGGTCTTTCCCTTTGGACTTCAGGTGTCTTGGGCAGGTCCTGCAGGTTGCAGCTCTGTGCAGCTTTCTTGAATTTATAGACCTAAGGAATGGGACACCAGACCTGAAGACAGAGACCCACAGAGCAGCCAAGGTGACCACATGCTTCTAGATGCACCTCTACAGAGAGCTACAAGTCCTGCACCATCTCTTTATGACTTGTTCCATACGCTCCCACTGAGGTTTTAGTTCTCATTGCATGAGGTCGAGATTGCATCTCAGGAAAATTTTCTCTATGGATAATCACTGGGCATTGTTCCACGGCCCTGTGTCCAAAAGCTATGTTGCCTTTGACTTCCATGGTTCTGTAGAAACAGATAGGGCTGCTTCTCACACCCTCACCCTGAATGTCTCAGGCTGTCTTCCCCCGCACCACACTGAGGATGCAGCTTGTGCTTGTTCCAGCTGGTTGGTCATCACAAAACGGAGCTCTCCTCTGACTCCAGTTGCCTCCAGGCCTGGGACGACTACACTCATGAATTGCTGCAAGTGGCCTGTATGGGCTGATCCATTTTCATGGATTTAATTCACAATGCTCGCAGGTCACATTTTCTCAGTGATACTCCTTTTTCTTGTAAATGTGGTGGTAATCCTTCCCCCATCATTTCTTTTAACACCTAAATAAATCTCAGAATTATTAGTAGCCGTATAAAAGGAGACTGTAAAAAGTTAGTGGAAATATTCCATTAACTCTAAATTCCATGTTTTCCATAAAATTTTGAAGTCCTCTGGTATGGTCTGAGTCCTACTAGTATGTAACTCGTGTGATCAGATTGCCTGGTAAATAGGCACTCACATGTTTACTGAATACATTTTATTCCTTTACTTCCTTTTTTGGTTTGCTTACTTTTCCTGTAAGTTTCCTTATTAGCATTGAGAATTCTGTGTACAGGCTCACTGTAATAACAGTGACCGCATATTTCACTTCTAAGTGGGGCTAAGACTTTTGTTTCTAACTTTAGAGCCTCTACCCCCTGTATTCCTTCTTCACCTTTTATATGTGTACTGGTTCTATAATCTAAATAATTTTATTGTTTCTGAGCACCTTTTTCTACTTCACATACTGTCAGATTAATGGATATTTTTTTACAGGTTATTTAGAATTTTTTTAATAAAGGTCCATTGCTTTAGTACAGATGGTATAGTAACTACTAATGTCCAACAATTCTTACCTTGTGTCCATAATGAAGATTTTTTCACTCTGAACATATTCTTTCAAGGGCAGGTGAGGGCCGGGATGTTGTGAAGCCAAATAAACATATAATACTAGGTATCAGACCAGAGCATGACAAGCAGACATCCCTGAGGCACAGGTTCGGCTGTAACTCATGAAGCTACAGAGACCATTATACAATAAGTACATTCAGGACATCCGTATTTCTCTATGGGTCATGTTGTTGTAAAGTGCTGTCGAGTTAGCTCCAACACATAGCAACACTGTATAGGGTTTCCAAGGAGTAACTGGTGAGTTTGAAGCAACACTGTATAGGGTTTCCAAGGAGCAACTGGTGAGTTTGAAGCAACACTGTATAAGGTTTCCAAGGAGCAACTGGTGAGTTTGAAGCAACACTGTATAGGGTTTCCAAGGAGCAACTGGTGAGTTTGAACTGCCAGTTCAAACCGACCTTATGGTTGAGTGCTTAACCAGTGCCACACCACATTTATTTTTACATGAGCTGGGTAGATAAAACTTTCATGCTCCTAAAATTTAGCATTGTTTTAATGCCTTTATAAAAGCACTGGCGTTAGCAGTTCTCCCTGTGAAGTCACATGGAGCTTGCTATGAACCACAAGGTCAGCAGTTCAAAACTACCAGCTGTTCTGCAGGAGAAAGATGAGGCTTTCTGCTCCCGTAAAGATTTACAGCTTCAGAAACCCTGTACAGGGTCGCTATGAGTTAGAACCGAGTCCACGGCATATAACAATAAGGATCATGGTCTCAGCGTTTCCACCAGTCTCATAAGACCAGCAAGTTTGGTCTTTTTAGGATTTTAAGTTTTGTTCCATGTTTTTCTCCCACGTTATCAAGCACCTACTATGGTGACAAACAGAGAAGATGAGAAATATTTGTCACAAAAATTAGGAAGTGGGAGGCAAAATGAAACCGGTTACCCAGGCTCTTCGCCATCTGCAGACTGAGGACCAGAGAGCAAGGAATAACTCCAGGCCAGGGCTGGGCAGAGATGAGGGATTCTGGCCTGTCTCCCCTGCCATTCCCATCATCTTTGCTATTCCTCACCACCTGTGGTGCCAGAAGGCTTGTCCTTGTTGCCAAACACTTGAAGTGCAGATACTAGGGGACTTGAGAGGAGAATTGAGGAACCTGCATTATTGGGGGTGGGGTACACCTTCACAGGACTGCAAATACCATTTATCTTCATAGTCTAACATTGCTCCTCTGCCCTCTAGTAGTAAGAGCTTAAGGAATGGCGCTTCCAGGCCACCTTAGTTCGGCATTTTCCTCTCCACATGGAGCTGGTGATATTCTCTCCAGGACTTAACAATGATGCTGTTGTTAGGTGTCGTTAAGTTGATCCCAACTACTAGTGACACTATGGACAACAGAAGGAAACACTGCCTGGTCCTGCCTCGTCCTCACAATTACTGTTAGCTTGGAGCCCATTATTGTTGCCGTCCCATCAGTCCATATCATTGAGGGTCTTCCTCTTTCTCACTGATCCTCCCCTTTACCAAGTATGATGTCCCCTCCAAGGACTGGACCCTCCTGATAACATGTCCAAAGTATGAGATGAAGTCTCACCATCCTGGCTTCTCAGGAGTGTTCTGGCAAGACAGATTTGTTTGTTCTTCTGGAAGTCCATGGTAAGTTCAATATTCATCACCAATACCTTCATTCAAATGCATCAGTTCTCCAGTTTTCCTTCTTCACTGTCCAGTTTTCACATGCATATGAGGCTACTGAAAAGACCATAACTAGGGTCAGGCGTACCTTCATCTTCAGAGTGACGTTTTAACTTTTTTTTAAGTTTTTATTGTGAATTGTGTGAAGGTTTACAGGGCAGCTCATCAGTTTTATATTCAACAAATCATTGCAATGATTACAATCCCCTCAATGCACCATCAGCTAACAGTATTTATCTCTATTACCATTCTTTTTTTGATGTATACATACCACATTGAAAATATGTATTTGTCTAATGTCCAAAGGGCACATTTTGCAAGCCAGTCTGTTCTCAGGCACACTGCCTCTCTCAGTTCATGGGCCTTATAGTCCTTTGCTGCTCTCTCTGCCATCACTTCTGCCACCATCTGTTGTTGCTGCTATTCTGGTTAGGATCCCTTATCCCTCTCATGTGCTTTTCTTCTTGATGGTCCTAGGGTTCTCTGTTTCTACAATGACATAATATAACTGTTCCCCCCTTTCGTTCCACCTCTTCTACATTTACAGTTGTGATAAGCTCATTAGTCCTGATAACAGTTATTCATAATTAAATCATAAAATCCTATCCCTATCATCACCAGACCCATTTGGACAAGAGGAAAACTACTCAGTGGGGATTCTACCTTATCCACCTCATTCTGACCCTAGACATCTTTAGTTTTTAACCCTTGGAAGCGATCTTTTGCAGCAGTTTTGCCCAGTACAATCAATACATTGATTTTTGGATTGCTGTTTCCATGACTGTTAATTGTGGATCTAAGTAAAACAGTCTTTACAACTTTAATCTTCTCTCCTTTTATCATGATGTTATGAGGATTTTGTTTACATTGATGTGCAATCCATATTGAAAGCTGTAGTCTTTGATTTTCATCAGTATGTACTTCAAATCCTCTTCACTTTCAACAAGGTTGTGTCATCTGCATATTGCGGTTGTTAATGAGTCTTCTGCCAATCCTGATGCCCTATTCTTCTTAATAGCTTCTTGGATTATTTGTTCAGCATACAGATTGAATAAGTATGGTGAGTAATAACCCTGACACAATCTTTTCCTGGTTCTAAACCATTCAGTATCTCCTTATTCTATCTGAACCACTGTCTCTTGTTCTATATACAGGTTCTTCAAGAGCACAGTTAAGTGTTCTGGAATTTCTATTCTTCTCAAAGTTATCCATAGTTTGTTACAAAACACAAACTTGTGCTTTATTTGCATAGTCAATAAAGCACAAGTAAACATCCTTCTGGTATTCTCTGCTTTCAGCCAAGATCCTACATCAGTAGATACCCCTTACTTCATATCCCTTTCTGGATCTGGCTTGAATTTCTGGCAGCTCTCTGATGATGTGCTGCTGCAAATTATCTTCAGCAAAATTTTACTTGCACATG